TCCCTATTCATGGACTTTACAGCATAAAAATCCTGGCACCTCAGAACAAAGGGCGCAGAGAATAACCACCAGCCCGAAAAAAACAACATCAGCCGGGGCAAACAGATCATCAAGGGCAGAGAACAACCACCAGCCCGAAGGAGAACATCAGGCCGGGAGAAGAGAAGCCCACAAGAACCCTCCGGTGAAGGCCCAGCTGAACAGAGAACAGCACCCAAGACAAAGCTTCACCAGGAGAGAGAATCCAAAGGGGCTCCACTCCACAGCTCCAAACGCCGCGCCTTCCTGAGTGCCANACAGGGATACCGCAAATGAGTTTGGAAGAGCCGACCATTCGGCATAACGATTGGTTAATAATCAGCATTAAATAATAATTAATTAAATTTTAATTAATTTCAAACATATTGGTGGAGATATTAAAATTACCTGAGCTAATAATTCCTACAAAAGGCTAGATTGGACTTTGCAAAAAACATCAAAAAAGCCAGCACAATTCTGGAACATCATTCTTTGGACAGATGAAACCAAGATCAACCTGTATCAGAATAATGGAAAGAAAAAAGTATGGAGAAGGGATGGAACAGCTTATGATCCAAAGAAAACCGCATCTTCTGTAAAACATGGTGGAGGTAGTGTGATTGCTTGGGCGTGCATAGCTGCCAGTTGCACTGGGTCTTTAGTGTTTCTTGATGATGTGATGCAGCCAAATTGATTGGGTGGCATTTCATAATATTGATGGACAATGACCCAAAACACACAGCAAAAGCAACCCAGGACTTTATTAAAGCAAAGAAGTGGAATATTCTCAAATGGCCAAGTCAGTCACCTGATCTCAACCCCATTGAGCATTCATTTCACTTGCTAAAGACTAAACTACAGACAGAAAGACCCTCAAACAAACAGCAACTGTAAGCTGCTACAGTAAAGGCCTGGCAGAGCATTAAAAAGGAGGAAACCCAGCATTTGGTCATGTCCATGAGTTCAAGACTTCAGGCAGTCATTGCCTGCAAAGGGTTTTCAACTAAGTATTAGAATTGAACATTTTATTAAATTGCCCAATTACTTATGAGCCCCAGAAAAATTACGTTAGTTCCCCACATTTTTATGCAATGTTTTTGTTCTACCCATTGAATTAAACCTGTCTGCACTTCAACTGCATCTGACTTGTTTATATGTCTATAAGATTCTAACAGGTTTGGATGCTGTTCAACCGAATAGTTACTTCAGCATTAGTTTAAATACAAGAACTCGTGGCCATAGGTGGAAATTAGCGGGAGAACATTTCAAACTGGATTTAAGGAAGCACTTCTTTACACAGCGTGTAGTCAGAGTATGGAATAGTCTTCCTGATAACGTAGTGCAAGCTGAATCCTTGGGTTCCTTTAAATCAGAGCTAGATAAGATTTTAACAACTCTGAGCTATTAGTTAAGTTCTCCCCAAGCGAGCTCGATGGGCCGAATGGCCTCCTCTCGTTTGTATAGTTCTTATGTTCTTATGTTCTTATGTTTCTTTTAAAATTTATTGTGGTAATGTACAGAACTTAAAAATTGAAAAACTTTGTCTCTGTCCAAATATTTAAGGTCCTGACTGTAAATAACTACATATGAAAGTCCATCCTCCCCTCCTCCCACGACCCAATGCAGTTTGCATACAGGTCAAACAGGTCCAGAAATGATTCTGGATTCTGAAGTCGAGGAACAGCATTCGTACATATGAGTTCTTTGAGTCGAGGTGTGTGAGGGCTGGATATAAAGCAGCGGAGATGCTTTTTTTTCTCCGCTGCTTTATATCCAGCCCTCACACACCTCGACTCAAAGAACTCATATGTACGAATGCTATTCCTCGACTTCAGTTCAGCATTCAATTCTATCGTTCCCCAGCAGCTTACTCACAAACTTTGACAACTGGGACTCAAAACATCCCTCTGTAACTGGGTGTTGGACTTCCTAACAGGGAGGACACAAAAAGTATGGGTCGGCAACAACACCTCCAAGATCAGGATGCTCAGCCCAGGGGCTCCACAGGGGTGTGTGCTAAGTCCACTACTCTTTACACCACTGTCACACGACTGTGTGCCAACTTACAGCACAAACCACTTCATTAAGTACGCGGACGACACAACTGTAGTGGGCATCATAAACAACAATGAGGAAACCAACTATAGAAGTGAGGTGAGCCAACTTGTCCAATGGTGTAAGGCAAACAATCTCTTCCTCAATGTGAGGAAGACCAAAAAAATGTTTATAGATTTCAGGAGAATACCTCTTCAGCATGCCTCACTGACCATCAACGGCATTGCTGTGGAGAGGGTGACAACAACCAAATTTCTGGGGGTGCATATCTCTGAGGATCTCTCCTGGACCAATAACACCACATCACTGACCATGAAGACACAAACACGCCTCTACTTCCTCTGCAAACTAAGGAGGGCGAAAGTTACACCCCCCATCATGCTCTCTTTTTACAGAGGCACTATTGAGAGTATCATCACTGGCTGTATCGCTGTGTGGTTCGGAAATTGCTCTGCCTCCTGCCATAAAGCTCTGCAATGGGTAGTGAATACAGCCAGCGAGATCATCGGCACCTCCCTGCCCCCCTTCACGGACACTTTCCATACCCTCCTCACCCGCAGAGCATTCACTATTGCTCGAGACTCCTCCCATCTCTTACACTCCCACTTCAGCCTCTTGCTTTCAGGGAGAAGGTACCAGACCCTTCGGGCTCGCTCCACAAGACTCTTAAACAGCTTTATCTACCAGCCTGTCAGGAGGCTGAAATCTGTCCATTAGCTCCCCACTCTGCCTCTTGCCCCTGGACAGTAATTTATTCACTGACTACCTCAAGAACTGTTAACATTCATACCTTTCCGCTGCTAATTTGAATTTGACTTGTATGATTGCTACCATTTGCACTCTGTTGTTCACCATTTGCATCACTTCCTTATCTATGTTTACCATTTTCACAACTACCTTAATATTATTACCCTTTGCACAACCGCTTCTTCTAGTCTTACCATTTGCACAACTGCCTTTTAAACTGTTATCATTTGCACAACTGACTATATATTGTTACCATTTGCACTTTGTACCTTTTGCACTTTGTCGATATGTCTCTGGCCTTGTCAGTTTGTCCTGTGTCTTGTTATCTGTCTTTTTGTATAGAATGTCTATAATTTTTTAATGGTATGCATACCAGTGAGGGAGAAATGGCATTTCGGTTCTCATGTATGTCTTGCACATAAAATGTGAATTGACAATAAAAATATCTTTGATCTTTTTTTTGATCTTTGAACTAGGGAAATTCTTCAAAATCAATGACAAATAGTGCAGCAGTGCAATTTGTCTACTGCAGAGTTGGACGCAGAGGGCTGAGCTACTGGATATACCTGTTTCCCAACCCTCACTTGTGACGTGTTAGCTTAAGGGGAAGACAGCACTGCTTGAAAATGGGAGATTCAAATCCGGATAATCCGGTTTTGGATGATTCGTGTTGTCTGTCTGTTCAATAAAGGCTTTGCATAGCACCTGCACTTGTGTCTGACTCAATGTTTATGAGGTTAGGTACCCCAGTCATGGTGGGGTGACCCTATACATATTAAGGGGCAGTATATGGCTCAGTGGGCTATGCCTGTGTGCCTGTAATCACAAGGTCGTTTGTTCAAACCTAGCCTCCGCACATCAGTGGGTCCTTGAGCAAGGTCCTTAACCCCCAGCTCCCTGGGTGCCACTATGGGTGGCTGCCTTTCACAGACAACTTACTCTACAAAGGGCAAGTTGAGGGAGGTGTAAAGACAATTTCCCCATGTGGATCAATAAAGTATCAATTATTATATGTCCTTGATTGCTGCCACTATTAAACTGTAGCAAAGTCAGTAGATAATGCCAAGATGTGTTAGATAAATGTATGTTGTTTATTTTTTTATTTTTTTTTCTTGATTTCATTGATTTGGAGTGATATATATTTGGTTACAACAAACACAAAATACACAAAACTTCATATTTCAGTTCAGAGTGAAATAAAGCTATAACAAAGTACATGTCACATGATAGAAGCATAATATTTTTTTTTTTGCTGCAAAGGGTAGCATGATCTATCAATTTAACATGTAGTTAAATATATAATTGATATATACAGTAAGTGTAAATGTTAGTATTATTAGTGGCATGGACTGAAAGTTTAGAACACATTAATAATAATGCAATTAACTGCATAGTCCAAACACGCGTATACGCTACAGTGTAGGCTGCTAGTCACTAGCACTATAAACCTACACATTTACCCCATTAAGTGTTGACTGGTTACCAATTAGGCAAAGGTCCTGATCAGGCAGTTCCCTTGGGGCCCCTGTCCTAGTATGTATGTATGTATAAGTGTGTGTACAAAAATATAGGGCAAATCACATCCTGTATTGGTTAACAAAGCGTTTCATGATCTACTCAAACATACTATGTATTCAATGTCAGTCTGTTCAAGTACATCAAGGTGAGGCTAGAATATTCTGATTGTCTGTCACACTCTTGCAGGAGTGCAAATACATGCACTGTGGCTTAGGATTGCGACTTCTTCCATTATTTGTTACTCATTTTAATTGAACCAATTATTTTTTTTAACCTACTAGTCAAATTGATTCTCCTATTAGGCGTGTTGACAAGGCAGATGTCAATCTGGTCGAATGATAAACTGTTTGTATATACTAATATATTTCTATATACTATTGTGTTATATAATTACATAATTATTCACATGCATGTTGGATTGTAATATATTAAATGTGAAAAAAAATCATCTTATTGCATGTTCCACTTTCTGAACACTGAGATATTGTGTTTGGGCATGTAGTGGCGTGTGACTCAATACAGCCTTCCAGCGCGCATAGTGAAAAATGCAATTAAAAGCACTTTAGTCAGTGGCAGAATGCTATTAAGGAACATTTACATGCAACGCGCCCGTATTTTGATGTTTCTCTGCCCAAAGTGCATATCTAGTCTAGGTGCATGTAAACCCCAGACATAAGTCGATGAGCAAATAAGCTTAAGTGAAAAAAACTTGCAGTTCCGAGTTCTTTTGACTTGCACACATTTACGTACATGGGAGAATTGACCCTCTAGTGAATACTGTAATATATAGAGAAAAAAAAGCATGCAAACACATAAGCATTTTTAAATGTTATCATGTCACTTAACCACAGCACATCATGCCTTTAATTATACTTTAGATTTTTATATAAAACAACAACAGGCAGAACAGCTTTAATTAATTCAAATAATCTCAACGTATATGGCTGTTTCAGTGTCACTGCTGGGGCTTTGCATCTCGCGTTGGGCCCTGTTTGGAAAGTCCACCTGCCTCCCCCGCTGGCGTCTCTGTGGGGATGGCAACACTCTCCTCAGCACTTACACTGGTAACACAGCTGATGCTGTATCTCGGCTAACATAACCAGCAAGGCCATGCTGAGGGGCTCCAAATAAGTTGGCTCAACCTGAGTCTCACTCCACCTTAGAGACAGAGGTAAGTAGCAAGCACCACATGACAAACCACCTCAGGGATGAGAACCTGAGTGCAGCGAAGCAGCAGGTAATACCTCAGCACTACACTAGTCCAATCGGAACAGTGGGAGTCCATTGGCTGGAGTGCCAATCCTACCACCAACCCCCAAATTATCCCTGTAAATTGGAGGACCTTGCTTGCAGGGCTGCATTCAGATTAATGTCATACCCAGGACAAAGAAGTTACAGGTTAAGGGCCTTACTCAAGGGCTTAATGGAGTAGGATTACTTCTGGCATTCACAGGACTTGAACCAGCAACCTTCCAATTGCTGGCACAGATCCCTAACCTCAGAGCCAGCCCACCCTTACACAAAGACAGGCCTATTAACATGTATATGATTATTATTAGTAGCATGGACTGAAAGTTTAGAATGCATTCCTGATAAAATAATAATGCGATTAACTGCATAGTCTAAATAAGCATATATGCTACAGTGTAGGCTGCGATGTATTATTCCAAACCAATTGCTGGTCAGTGGCATTCCCCAGTGGGGGTGGCGTGATGGTGCAGTGGTTAGCACTGTTGCCTCACACCTCTGGGACCTGGGTTCGGGTCTCCACCTGGGTCACATGTGTGTGGAGTTTGCATGTTCTCCCCATGTCGTCGTGGGGTTTTCTCCGGGTACTCCGGTTTCCCCCCACAGTCCAAAGCCATGCTGAGGCTAAATGGCGTTGCTAAATTGCCCTTAGGTGTGCATGTATGAGTGAATGGTGTGTGAGTGTGCCCTGCGATGGGCTGGCCCCCCATCCCGGGTTGTTCCCTGCCTCGTGCCCGTTGCTTCCGGGATAGGCTTCGGACCCCCCGCGACCCAGTAGGATAAGTGGGTTGGACAATGGATGGATGGATGGATGGATGGCATTCCCCAGCATGTTGTGGACATAACAAACCACACTGAAGGGCAAGCCCATATCCCTCCTCAGCACAGCTACTAGCGGATTGTCTTGCCAAAATGGAAGTGTTGTATCCATTCAAGGAACTGCTCTCGTCCACACTGCAGGTCATAGAGTCATTGCAAGTTCTATGATTTACAGAACACATATCTGCTCAGTGTGTTACCTGTTTGTTCTGAATGAAGATTGGAGTGCAGTTCTGGTAGACAAGCTGGTAGCTGCCATTGGTGTAGATGTGGGTGACTTCAGTACAATTAATGTACAATGAGGTGTGCTCATGGTAAAGCCCCAGGCTTGTCTGGTGCACAGCAGGATGTCCATAGTTGAGGATGTGCCTGTGCATATAAATGACTGGTTAGCTGATACTAGTGAACATTTGTTCAGTGACTTGTGTGGTTTTATCCAGCACCTATGATTTAAATAACTTTCTCAAATTTAAAATGACTTGACTATATGTCTCTTGTAAAAAAAAAAGTCATTCATTTTTTCCCCTGCCCATTTCATTCAACATTTTGACTATGAGCACCAAATGTTAGCTTAGTATTTAATATATCTCAGACCTTGACACACACTGATTTTTATTATTTTTATAGTCAATCTATAACACTGCACAACATTTTTTTTTTAAAGTTTTGCTTCCTGAAAAGTTTTTGCTGATTGTGACAGGTACCTGGTGGGCATGCACATATATAGTTTTGGTTTTGCTGCATCACATAGGAACTCTAAGAAACAGACAGTTAACTGTTTACCGACAATAACGTATTTAATCGCATTCTTGTTTCTCATACAATATTAAGTTTAACATAATTAGAAGTGTTTTGCTGTTGATTTTCATTTGTATTCAATGTCAGGTGCATCACGCTGCAGTGTCCAACAGTAGTCAGCAGAAATATCTGTACCTGATGACAGCAAACACCATTCCTGAAGTTTCAAACTCAACAATTCGGCTTTTGCTTTTGACAGACCCAGATCTCTGACCAGATCGTTTAATTCTGACTGTGTTATGTGAGATGTTGATCACCTGATGGGCGCGGTTCAAAATCTGGATTATTGTCCCTGCTAGTTCCCTGCATTGCAGTTTCTTCATCTGCTTCGTCTAAGGTCCATTCCTCTGGTGGTTTCACAATTGGAAGACTGTCGTCATGAGGCACAGGTCTCATTGCTGAAGGTAGATTAGGGTATTCAACTGACTTCTTGTTTTTGGCAGAGAAACCAGACACATTAGTCAAACAGAAGTAACAGTCCATCCCATGGTCTTTCAGTTCTTGTCATATCATCGGGACAATGGCATTGTCTTTCGAGTGCCTCTGAGCCAGGCTCTTGTCGCACAACAAATGTGAGGTGTCCATTCCTTGTCTTGATCATCGATTTTACAGTCGAAGTACAGATGATATGCTTTCTTCACAAGAGCAGTCACTGAGCATCTCTGAGGCGCAAGCGTATATTCACCACAAATATAGCAGAATCTTATGACATACGAGACATATTGACCGACACTAATCGTACTGCAAACATCAATAGCATGTAGCTTGCTTGTTACATTGCTACTGAGGCAATACTATATTCTGAAACAATACATACACACTATCAGGTCTTTATTAACCCAATGAGCAGCATCTGTGTATACAAGCCACTTTAATAGCCTGCTGAGGCAGTGTCAAGCTGGCTTCGGCCAGGCCAGGCATGCCCAGGGTCCAAACTTCCTCAGAATAGTTTCCAACCTGGCCTGATTCCATGCCTGGACATGCCCAGACTGTACAAAACATTGTTGATAGGTCTCTTAAAGAAATGAAAACTTTTGGACAGAAATATAAGAAAAATACATAACAAAACTGAAGATTTCCATGAAACGGTACTTGATGGGCAAATTTGGATGTGATTTTCGTGATCGGCAGCCAAAAATCTATTTGGAACTCCCAACAGTGTTCAAGAAGCAAAAACTTTGTTGTGCAGTGTTATTGTGAGGCAGAGGAACCAAACTGGTAATATTTAAAGTAGTGACAAGGTCTACAATTTACAGGACACATACCTTTTTTTCTTTCTGGAATAATGGAGAAGGAGGAGGAAGAGAAGGATGAGTAGGAGCAAAGAGAGGAAGATGCTTGCCACAAAAATCACTTTCCACAGCAGTGAATCTGTCAGCAAATAAACACGATAATAGGTCAACTGCAACACATGCAGATGAATGGTAATACCTAACTGTCGCATTAGGATTAATGAGAGGCTACATATCGAAAGATGTATTGGAGCATTGAGTAATACATCACTATCAGAAAACTGTATATAAATAAGATAAATAAGACAATTACTGCAAATAAACGGATTGCATTCTATAAACTGACAGACGTCGAGTTAATGTTTTTTTATACTCACCTTCGCTCCTGTCCATTAGCATGGCAGAGTCATTCCCCAGCATGTTGTGGGCATAACAAACCACACTGAGGGGCAAACCCATATCCCTCCTCAGCACAGCTACTAGCGGATTGTCCTGTGCCAAAACGGAAGTATTGTATCCATCCAGAGAGTTGCTCCCGTCCACACTCCAGGTCACAGCAGACCTGGGGTTGGAGTCCACCACACACTGACACATGAGCCCCCCCCCAGCCCAGCTGCAGGAGGAGCTTTGGGAGATCACCGGCTGGCCTACGAAACAAGGATGTGAGCTAACAATAAAGTAACCAGGCTGGCAAACCAGTAATGGTAGAAGGTGAAGAAATGGATTAATGGGAACATATTACAGGTACAGGTTTAATACTTAGAAGATTAAAATGTTAAAGTATTAAACCTGTACCTATAATATTAAACAGAAAAAACTAGTTAAAATTACACTAAACTTTTTCTTAAGGAAATCAATTACGTAGCTTATTGAAAAATTTATCATTTTAGATAAGTGTATTCAGAACAAACTCATATTGTGTGAGTTACTATACTAGGTTGTTAAGAACATGACCGTGATAGACACACGTTGAACATCGATGGTGACTGGGGTAGATTTTGCCCATCCGATTTGGTTCGTAGCAGTACAGTGGAATCTCTTTCCTCGCGTCACATTGTAGACCCGGACCGTTTGCAGGCGCTGGGGCAGATCAATGGCAAGTCCCTGATGAGTGTAAAACCACTGGTATTCTGTAACGGGGGGGTCTGCTTTACAGGAACAGGAGAGAAATGCGCTCCCCCCTTCTTGGACTGCCTGGCTAAGGACTTGAATGGCAATGTCTCGTGGTGGAACTGGTGGAGCATGGTCAACAATGTAGGAAAAAGTCTTAGAACACTTAAGGCAAAAACCTTAAAGACTGGATGACATTTTAAAAACATTTTCAAAACACTTTTTAAAATGTGCTTTTTATAAAGGCAATAACAACTGATTTCCTTGTGCTATTACGCAACAGATAAAGAACAAACAAGAGAAACTTACACCTGATGTGCAGATTCCTGGTTGTAAATGCTCTTTGCCTGTCTGTGAGTGTGGTGAGGCATTTGACCCAAGGCGGAGCTGTGTGGGAGGCATTAAAGGAGAGGGAGCTGAGGAGGACCTGAAGCTGCCCACGGACCTGAGGCAGCAGCCTTTGCTCCTGATGCCAGTGGCTGGCCCCTCTCTCCCAATTCCAAAGAACCTGCACAGGCTGATCAGGGCAGCTGTTACTGACTGTGCAGTTCAGGGTGACTAGCTGCCCCTCTATGATAGTGCCAGGGTCACTGATCTCAGGTTTTGGAGGGGTACCTAGATGGAAATAAACAGCACAGCGTTTAATACTTTTGCTACTTCAGTAATCACACTTCAGTTTAATTCACAAAGAGTAAAATAAGCAGGTAAGTCCTCCTGAGGTTCACATCCATGCTGATGTAGCCTTCTCAGCTTACGTATCAGCTGGAGTTTCCTTCAGGAGGACGATGGACCAGTTAAGATTAGAGAGCTGTATTGTCATTATGCTGCAGAACAATGAAATTCTGTAACTTGACTGGACTTCTGACTTAACTACTGAAACAGTCAGAACTGAATCTTGTGAACTGTCATTCTTATTCGGATTTTTTCCCAAGCCTTAATCTACCTTGTGCTTTGAAGGAAGGTACCTTAATCACCCAGAAGCCCTTCTAAAATGCTTTGAGAAGAAGCTCCTCACCTGACACAGTGATTGAGATGGCCTTGGAGACTGTCCATTCGCTTGCTCCTTTCTCCTTCAGCTCCATCTCATAACGGCCTCCATCATTCATCCTCAATTTGTCAATCTGCAGAGAGCAGTCCCCCTGGCTGGGGTCTCCCACCAGCGCTGTTCTTCCCTTGAAATGTCTGTGCACTTCAGTGGTGTCATCACTGCTGAAAGCTGTCCTTTTGCCAAATAAAAAGCGGTATCTTAAGTGGACGTGGTATTTAACGGGCTGTCTGTCAGTGTGCCTGGGACTGGTGGGAATGGTGAAGTGGCAGGGAATAACCACACATGAGCCCAATACTGCTGGCACTATTTCTGGGATCAGGATGGAAATGTGCGCAGGGCAGCCTTCTTTTAAAAAACCTGTGAGGACAGAATGAAGTTTCATGTCATTCTGCAGAGAATCAACCAATTAAACAATGTTTCAAATTTAAAATACACTTCTGTAATGCAGAAGTGTTGAAGGGAAAATGTGCAGACTGAGAATATGCTATGATGGATGGATGCACCATTTTCTATAGTCTGTCCAGCTATTTTTGTGGTAAGGGATGTTTCACAAGTGAGTTAAATTAAGAAAAGAGGAAATGTGGAAACACAGTGCTTATCTTTTCATGTTTATTGTCCCAATGTAATTGTCTGTATATCACAGATGAATTATTTCACAGCATAGTAATCAAATACCTGATTCCTTTAAAATAGTGTACATATCTGATGTCCTGTTAGGCGCACACACAATTTCCATGATGAAATGTCATACAGTAGCTTAATTTCAAATTTCAATTTGATTTTCAGTATTATTCTCAAGTTAATTTATAACAAAATGAAGCATACTGGTAAAATATAACACAATTAATAATTTTTTTAAATTAAACATTTTAAAAGTTTACTTTGTCTTACAAAGTAAAGTAATACAACAGGTTCTGGAAAGAAACTATATTTATATAAGCCATTACAAAATCTTATTTATATAAGTATTGCTACAATCAAGACAAATATTCAGATTTATAATACCAATAAATTATACATTAATTATCTATAAATATTTAAAAAGATAATAAACTCACCAAATACCATACATAGGGAGAGAACTCTGTGAAGACCCATGACCGTGAAAGTGCCAGAGAGTAACAAAAGCGGCTGATCCTGAACTAAACAAGCAAATCTGAGGAAATGGGAAGATTATAAAAAAAAGTTTAGGGAAGTTGGTTTTTGCTGTCTTAGTTTCCTAAACCATTATACATTTTTTTCAACATTGTGATTGTTGTAGATTATCAAACATTTCTCCTTTTCAAGACTATTGTCAAAGTCTTTTCTATTAGTTTTAATATGTATTAATACACTGAATTGTATTATTAGGAATATTAAAATAACTTAACTTTAAATACTTTAATTTAACTTTGGCAAAAGGACATTTTATACTTATATAAATTACATGCACAGTTGTTGGTCATGCATGCATATCAAATTCAGAATATGAAGTGGAGTAACAAAAATCTTTCCAAAGACAAATGATCCCAAGCATGGCTGCATCATTCCCGACTCAAATAAAATACTGAAGTATTTGAATTTTAAAATAAAAATATTAAATATTTGAATTTCATCTAACATCCTCTTCTCTAGTCTTTTAAATTGCTATGCTTCTGTTGTTATACTTCAATAACTGTAGGAGTCAACATGTAACAGCAGACAGCTGTGAAAAGCAGAAGTTAAACATTGACTTTTTCAACAAGATTTTGAGCATGTGGGACTGACTCATCACATTACAGGCCCCTGTCTGTTCCTTGCATTTTTATGCCGGGTGCAGTAATCCTATAATTCTCTAGTCCAATGCTGTTAAATGTATTTCTCTATTTAACCTTCGGATATGTGTTAGCTTTCTGTTCCTATCTCTTATGTTAGACGGGTCGAGGCCCATCTTAAATCAATTATTTATTGATCTCAAAACAATTATTTATCATCCAATTTGTTTCTTACCTCTTGGTTACCTTCTTAGGCTTCCTTATCCATGAAAAGATTGGTTTTAATATTTTTTGGTGTGGCTTTCTGGACCATTCTTTTCACAGCATACCTCTCATTTTCAATAAAAAAAATAATGGTAAATTATATTTTTTAACTATGATACAAATAATAAACTAATAATTCAACAACATTTAAGTAAACATTACAGATATGACAGTAAATCAAAGGATTTATTTGGAAAATATTCTATTAAATCAATAGAATAAAATTTTTGGATAAAATCAACATTCCCAAAAATCATTCAACACAATTTCTTTCAAAGACTACATTTTGCTCTCTATGAGGTCTATTCTTCTGTCCAGTAAGGAAGCCCTTAAAAAGTTCTGCACTTTTGAGTTACTATAATCTCCCCACACCAGCACGATCACATCCACAAGACTTAACTCAAAAGAGGTGCAGCTGTGCAAGAAATATAATTAATTCATCAAGTAGGCTACGCCCTTGATGATTTTGGTAACAAGCAAAACATCGAACGTGGACTCTTTAATTTACATTGTGAATCTACTGAAATCCACCAAAACCCCTTTATTTTGAAAATGAAGCATGATGGTGGCCTATATTTGGTCATGCCCATAAACATGTGATTTTTTTGGAATAAAAATGAATGATGAAATATGGTAAATGGATTGCATTTATATAGCACTTTTCTACTCCTAGCACTTTACAATTCTTGCCTCACATTCACCCATATACACCAGTGGCAGAGGCTGCCACACAAGGTGCCAACCTGTTCCAACCTGTTCACCAGGAGCAATTTGGGGTTCAGTGTCTTGCTCAAAGACACTTTGACAGAGTCAGGAAGAACCAGGACTCAAACCAACAACCCTCTTGCTGCCAAACAATAGCACTACCTCCTGCATCACCATCACATACAGTGTTTGTTCTCTTTCCTTATTTTCATATAAAGCAGTGGTTCCCAAACTATTTACAGTCATGAACAGATATTCAACCTACAGCCATGTACTCCCTCTAGCTCTACACAGTGCCATGTAGACTATTCAAAATGTTGTTACCCTGGGCGAAAGTGGGATCTCCCTTCTGTACATTTGTTTAATCTTGGTGGGGGGGGGGGGGGTCTGTTAATTTTTCATGTTCGTTGATTGTCGAAAAGGGCCACTAAGACCCTCAAAAAGGGGGCAAATTCATTCAGCAAAAAAGGTAGGGGCTCAGGCACCATCAGCCTCCAGCCTCTACACATAGACAAAGATACATACACAAACACATAGACTATATACACAGCACAGCATGAGACATTAATAGTGTGCAGTCAATCCTATATAATTAGTTGTTGGTAACACTTAAGGCCATTAATCAAATTCAATTAAATTTATTCTAAGAGTTTGAAGGTGTATTCTGTCAAATTTCTTCAGGTCTACATGACGAAACAGTTGAAATGAAACTCAGTTGTGTAAATGTTACAAATACACTGCAAATAAAGTGTTACCAATAAAAACTCACGAAGAGCCCTATGAGGCACCCGTCTGAATGAAAAAATGTGATTAAGTGCCCTTGTAATGGCAATATTTTTGATGAATGAAGAAAATGAGATCCCGTGCTCCACTACGAGATGCAGTTTCCTGTACATGTCAGAAAAGTAGATGAAATAATGTACAATCATATGTTCCTATGTGTAAGAAAACCTGATATCTAGGTTTCCAGATATCTAGGATATCTCAATGTACAGGTAATACGTAACCATCTAGTAATGTAGGTCATAGACATACAAAAGGGCATGCACAGTTTACAGAGGTGGCAACCTGAAGTGACTGTGTCTAACCAATTTCAGATGCTTCCAGTTTTAGAGCCGGAAGAGACTGGGGAGGCAGGAGGGCCCTTGGGCACTGAGGAGCCCCCTCCACCCAGGAGGAGGGAGGTTGTGGTAGTAGTGGATTCAATTATTAGAGGTATAGATAGTTATGCGTGCATCCGTGATAGACGGTCCCGTACGGTGTCTTGCCTGCCTGATGCCCAGGTAGGGGACCTTCCAGATTGTGTGGACAGGTTTTTGGCCCCAGCCAGGGTGAATCCAGTGGTCATGGTGCATGTTGGCACCAATGACATAGGCAATGGCAGGAGGGCTGTTCTACAGGATAAATGTATAGTAGGTCTGTCAAAATTAACGGGTTAACGCGGATTAATCCATCATCATGATGAATCTGATAAAAATTAACGCAATTAACCCATCTGCAGCGCAGAATGACTCAAAATCCCTATAATACCCATTTCGGGCAGTTTTGCTGCATTCCATTTGCCCTGGGAACTCGTATTCCGACTTATGTGGATTCCGAGTATTGAAGCCAGAAGTGATGGCATGCGCCATCTCGGAGCAACACAGAGGATCCCGAGTTCAGAATCCAAGATGGCTGCGCCTTTTATCAACAGAAGGGAAAGTTGTAGTTTTATACTGTTTAAGCACTACTACTCATTTGTGGCTCATTAAATCGGTCGCACACACTATACCGTCCAACTTATCTGTGGACGTGTTGCTACGGAGTTTTATACAAAAAGCACCGCGCTAATGTGTTATCAACTGATATTGCTAACAATGGAAATTAACCAGGCTAGAATTGGATTTCATGATTAGTCGGATTATTTGTCAGATTTACGGTAGTTCGGGCTAATTGTAAGTGAATGAAGATAAAGACCATTTAAACTGAGGTACCTTAAATCTGACAAGTTGTCCGGCTAACCAGTGGGTTTGATGTGGGTCCATGGTATATTGCACTTCTGTGACAGATGGAATGCATCCGACTCGTGTTCAAGATGTTCAATAAACATGTTAAGTGTCACGCCCGGCTCGTCCGATCCTCGTGTGTGTCACCTCCCCCTCGTTACCTCATGTTACTTCCTGATTGTCTTCACCTGTTGCCTGTTGTTTTCTGCCTACCCTGTGTATTTAGTCTGTGTCTGAGTCAGTATTCCCCAGTCCGGTCATTAACGTTGTGTTGCCATGTATTTGGTCTGTCGTTGAATAAACCCTGTTTTCTTGGATATCCGTGTAACCGATCCTGATTACCCGCTCGCTCGCCCACACGGATCATGACATTAAGTGCATATATATTCCCTTTTTTCTTGAGTCTGTTTGCTCATGCAAAATTAAATGCGATGAATATAGATTAAAAATGAATGTTATGAGCTGGATGAAGTGGCCGGGGAGAGGGAAGTCTGGGTTTCCCTGCTGAGACTGCTGCCCCCGCGACCCGACCTCGGATAAGCGGGAGAAAATGGATGGATGGATGGATGG